GTGATAGCGACACTCCGGTTTGAGCCCCGTGAGCTCACCTACATGTTAGGGCGAAGCTGAAATTATAGCCTCTCAAGGCTATCAGCATAGTAGGAAAAAAAAGTGTTTGTTATTCGTTGCCATTTAAATATAGTGCTAAATACAATCTCATGTTTTCTTGTCTTACTTGATTTGACTTACCGACCGGTGTCTAAAGCAGTAGTAATAAGTAACATATAAGCGTGTTTCTCGAGCGCTATGACATGTCCTTCTTCAAACGAGGCATGTGGAGAGTACTAAGGGTGGGCAGCGGCTTGGCTCTGCCCCTGGCATTGCTGAAGTCCATAGGCGACAGTAACCACTCACCGTCAGGCCGTGTGCTCGCCTGCTTATACGGCGATAAGAAAAAGGAACTATTTTGTATAACGTTCTGGAAACACTGTGGAGGGGAGCTCATTCTGAAGCCGGATGGTAGGTAGCAAAAAATACCTCTGAAAACACACTATGGATGAACGCAGTGGCTCAAGGTAGTATGGATGAACTCTACTCCGGTGGCGGGCGGTGCGATGATAAAAACGAGATGATAGTATCATCTCAAACAAATCCTCAGAGCACTCCCCATGGAACATACGGTAAAAAAAATGTGAGCCGTCATGGGACGCCTGGCAGATGTGAAACATCGACATTATTTTGTAAAAGTATTATGCAGAAAATAACAGATTGTAATAGGAACTAAATATGCTATAATGATAAAATAAAATATTACGAAAAAATAATTTGTTTTCAAGTAAAACACAGGTTATGTGTACTGTAGTAAACAACACTGTATACACTACGGAGTATACACTACAGGTATCCGAGCTCAGTGTAGCGAGAGAGATGGCTTAACGCCGGATCGAGTGGGAGAGAATCGCACAATCGATTGCGCATGGCGACGCGTCGCCACGGCATGCGTCGCCACGCCAGAAATCGGTTGTACGTGCGGCTATAGATGTATCACATCAAAAATATGCTAATAAAGTTGTTAACAATTTTAAATACATAACTTTTGCATAACAAAGTCCAAATATTCTTACTCTTCCTCATTATTATTACCAAAACATATTAACTGCGAGTTGTTTATTAAATAATACAAGTCGAGTTTACATGTCATATAAATACGTAGTCATTCGATAAGCAATATCAGTCGCGTGTCAGTTGAAGTCTTGACTCCACACATTGTGCTAGTCTTTCCTTATTTAATTCAGTGTATTGAGAGCAATTTGAGGTCAATATAAATAAATAAATTGTTTAAAAATAAGGTATGTAATTCATTTTTAGATCGCAGACAGTTAATGAGATATCAAATCGATTTGCAAATACGCAATATAAAAGGCTATCCGTGTTACTTAGAAATAAATAGCACTTTTGTTATAGCTTGAGTGTAACTATAAATTATACCGTACCTAGTATTATTAAATAATGATTACATTTCATTTAATCACATTTTTAGATGGATGGATGGACTTTGTTAATATTTTTTGTATGCCTTACGTCTATAACGGATTCAAGCCCGGTTATGACGAGGGAGAGTTTGATAAAGCAAATAAACACGCAGCATTTCTGCGCGAATATACTCAAGATCAACAATTTTTACTATTCGCTGGCGGAGAGAAAGAATTTAAGCGGCATCCCGGCCGACATTAGCATCCACTGGAAGACGGGTAACATATTTTTCACGAAAATAAGCGAAGAAATGAAAATGAGCTTGCAGGTGTTACGCCCCAGCGGGGAATTTGAAACGATCAAAGTTGCCGGATTAGGTCAGTCAACTACAGTCGACAATTTAAATGACATTGTTTATTTGGCCACTGATAATGGCGTGTATAAATACAAAGACGACGGCTCGATACAGCTTTACGCGGCTTTAGGAGAGGACGTAATGTACTTGGCTGTTTCGAATGACGGCGGAACTATGTACATAGCGACGTGGCCACAGAATCGCGTTCATAAACTGTCAAATGACGGACAAAAACAGGAAATTTTCGCGCCAATACCGAACGGCCATGGTTTGACAGTTGACACTAGAAACAATATATATTTCGTTGCAACGAAAACATCGTACATCCTCAAAAACGGAGAGAGCGTACCAATTAAAATCAAAGGTCTGCCGACGGATAAAATGACAGGAATTTACGTCAGTCGTTCAGATGAAGTTTACGCTATGGACGAAAATAGCAATCTGTACGTTTTGGAGCCAGAAAACGCTTCGGCCAGGCATTTGGGAACGTTTAGCGTGAACGGAGTGAATTCCTTTGCTATGGACGAGAGCGATAACATTTTGATCGGTGTCAAAAGCGCCATCTTGAAATACAAGGGTTACGAGAGGGATCCATGTCCGCAGCAAAAGTGATTTCTTTTTTCTTTTCTATTTTCTGTTACTAATTTTGTTTACGTTAAGAAAGGATGATGTTTATGTTTTAATGCACTGTCTTATTTGATCTTCTTTAGAGTTTTCATAATTTAAATTACGTTGAAAACGCTTGTTGATTAAGTTTGCTTTAATTCCGTGATATATCACCACTAACTCTACAACTGAATCACATTTTATTTATGCAATATTATAATTTTAATATCTTGTAGCTAAAGTATAACCTTTATAATTTATTACTATTAAATTAAGCATAAAGGCAAAGGTAACTTTTATTTAATGTCCATAGAGTCAACAAAAAAGGTAAGCGTCACAGTCGTCGACGAAAAACAAAAAAACTGACAACTACATCTACTACAGAAGCTACTGAAGACTATGAGGAAGAATGATGAATGTGAAATGAAAAACGACAATCATTTTGATGCCAGTTTGCAAATTGATTTCAGCGCCATCTATGCAATAGTTTATGTACTTTATGAGTTTGATCCACTGAATTAGACTCAACGTAAAAATCATAGCTTTAAAAAGGGACTGTAGTGCTCACTTTTTCTACTAGATGTCAGTTTATGCGAAACGAAGAGAAAAAAATAGTGAATAAAAAATTCCAAAATGAAAGTTTTTATTCCATAGCTCAATCAAAGCGTATTTTCCTTTAATTATTTTATTTTGATTAAGTATAAGTGTGTGTCACAAAATCAGTGCTCAAATGAAGCTTTAGATAAATAAAACAAGTTATTATCAATTTGCTATTTGTCATCGCTTAACATTCAATAGCTATGCAATCAGCAAACTTCAAGGTAGTCGTGTTCCTAACATAAAGCACTGAAAAAGGCTGCAAGTAACCCATTAACGAAAAAAACCCAATTCAGAAAAAACAAAATTTTTAAGACTATCTAAATCTTGGACAGTAAGCAACGCATACTCGCGAATGCTTTCGTTTTCAAAAAAGAACCAATTCAGGAGTGCACCGCAAATTGTTGACATCTATGGCTGACGGTTTCAGATTCAGCCCGTTGAGTTTCTCACCGGATCTTCTCAGCGGGTCGTGATTCCGATCCGGTAGTAGATTTATTCGCGAAGTGTCACTCTTGAGTTGTTAGGTCTCCCTTGGAGGCGCTCGGGTAGCTGTTAGTAAATCTCGCCCCTTCTGGCTGAGCCCTTGCTCGCGCACCTGTCCTTGTGAAACTGGAAAGGCCTCCGGGCCACCAGTAAACCATGAATCATAAAAAAAAGGTTTCGGATTTTTAATCAGATGAACATGCAAGCAATTCGTTAAGCCTAAATTTTTCAATAAACTTTCCATTAAATTTTGTGACATGATATAGGCAAAAAGAAAATAAAAATAATTTATTTTTTGTCAATTATTAAGGAATTGGCCTGTCTCAATGTTAAAAAAACTCAAATTTATTTGTGTTGCCTGGTTTTTATTTTAAATTTATTTTTAGATTAATGAACAAATCCTCAAATCGTGAATATAGTTTGTAAAATTAAACATGAATATTTAAAATAAGAGAGAGCAAATTCACTGTTTCAAAGATTTCACACATGTTGAATCATAAAGGAGAGCACTATTTTTCAAATAATTCAAAATAGTGTGCGTTTTTTTTCTAAATATACAACACATAAATTGATACTGAAGTTTTTATTTTTAGTCTGACAACATATGACCTTCACTCTTTTATTTATCTTCCTCTCTCTCATTCAAACGATTCATTCATTCGAGATTCATTGGGTGTTATGCAGTAATGTTACAAGCATAACAATTTTCCAATATTACAGTGAACATTGTCCATCAAATAATTATAAATTCCCCATTTTATCTTTATGAAAATATCGAAGGTAATGTTATTGTAAAATGGATAAAACATAAATCTCAAAAAGCGACACTAAAAAGATCCAAACATATACAACTATAGGATCCAGCTTTCGAGAAAATGAGACAAGAGATGCTTTTAAAGATTTTTTGTATGTTATACTTTTGTGTGAATACATTTTTTTTTACAAAATATTTGTTTTGCATTAAAGTCTAAACAACTTCCTTGAAATAAAAGTATCTAAAAAAAGGGTGCGTGTACTTATGTACGCGCGTAAGAAGCTATACTTTATTTTTATTAAATTTATTTCTTTTATTTTATTTAAATTTTAATCAATTTGAAAACAATCGATTAAACAACATCCTCAAACACGTATATTGGACATCCCTTTTCTCGACATCGTATAAATTCGGTAATTCTCGGTACAGTTCGGAAAGTTCACCTGCAGCTATATTCAGACTCGCCAAGTTACGTCGGTCGTATTATAATGAGCGATTTAGTGGGCAACTTCATTTCTGTTAATTTTGTGTCACGGTGCGCGCGCATCGTATAATTTCACTCTCATCAATTTTTCATAACGCGCCTAAAGAAGTATAACTTCAAAAATCTATGAAATAAAAGCTGACGCCATTAATGATCACTAATTTGATTTATCAAATTGATTAAAATCAAAGTTAGAGGTAAATATTTCTCCTCGGTTCTGAGATTTGAACCTAATACTAACGGCTAATTCCAACAGGGAGAATGGTAGCTTTTAAGTCGGTAACCCTGTACGAAAATTGTCAAGTTGTCAAACGCGTCGGTAATGTGTCAGTGAGCGATTGCTGTATGTATAGTGCTGTTATAAGTGTCGTAAATGTTGTACTGCTATGTCATAATGAGAAAACGCATGCCCGACTTCATTATTATAAAGTGACGATAGTGTTTTAAATTAAGTTTCTTTTTAAAAAACAGTGTTTTCATTTGTATGTCATCGGACCTTACAATATGGCGGCGGCTCGGCACAAATCACAACAGAAGAACATTTCTTCTATATTTTCGAAGTTACACGGTGCTTTCTCGGATGCCGTGTGTCCCACGAAGCTAGCGACGGACAAAAGGACACTGGACAAAACTTGGAAGTTGATGGACAAAGTAGTAAAACTATGTCAGCATCACAAAATGAATTTAAAAAATAGCCCGCCGTTTATTCTTGATATTTTGCCCGATACATATCAGAGGTTACGTATTATATATTCGAAATACGAGGACAACATGCAAGCGTTGAATAGTAACGAGCATTTTAATATATTTATAATTAATTTGATAAGGAAATGCAAGCAGGCTATTAAGTTGTTTAAAGAAGGGAAGGAGAAAATGTTCGAAGAGAATTCGCATTTTAGAAGGAATCTGACGAAGCTCAGTTTAGTTTTTAGTCACATGTTGAGTGAACTGAAGGCTATGTTCCCGAACGGTACCTTCGCCGGCGACCAGTTCAGGATCACGAAGAGTGACGCCGCTGACTTCTGGAGAACGAATTTCGGAAACAGGTTAGCTAAAGACATTTTATTCACAACTCTTTATGTTCTTCTGCATTAAATTTTCTAATAAAATAAATTAGCGTTTAATGTACTCTCCACTAGAATTTTTTTTACAAAATTAAATCACCTTACTAAAATCTAAGAAAATTAAGTTTATAGTAAACAAGCAAAAGAGACACAGTTTAATGTTAGCAGGAAACTTTAAAAAGGAAAATATATATTTCAACTAATTAAACAACATTTTCAATAAACATTAGATTTTTTTATTTAATAATCAAATAAAGATATCTAAATATTTGTCATAAAAGTCATATACAACGGTTTCAATCTATAATTATCTCTAGTGTTATGAGTGCTGAAAACCTTCACATGTATGATGAATTAATTCATTTATCAAAATATCTTTGCGTGCTTTGCAAATGGATCATTTCCCCTTAGGTAGCCATGATTACTAATAATTACTAAAGTACAACGTGGCCAACTTTACTTGGTTCTTTTGCCAATGTGAGTACTGAGCCCATATACTTAAATTCAGGCTAAGAAATAGGCATAAATTATGTTGAAAGCCAAGTCAGTCGATTCTTCAATCTTGACTTGAATGAATCGTATAGTAAGTAAACTTGCATTTCAAATATTAAATTATGTACACATTCCATTTATTATGTACTTACATGTTAATTAATATTTGATGATGGGTTGGTCTCAACACGAATTTATTATTAAGTAAAATTGTTTAGCAGTTCCCTTGACATATTCCAATTCAAATTTACTGTAAATATTTTTGATCGCTGTATACTAAACCAATTGTATATACCAAATGTATTACTAAACCAAGCCATTTGACTAAGATTGCTTATGTTCAACAATGTAAAAAATCAGACAGTCATCTGTCAGAAATCAACTATAATGTTTTACAGTAATTTAAAAAAATATGATTTTTCTTCAAAACTAACTTGTGATTGCTATGTTCTGATCAATTTTAAAGTAGAGCTTACAGGAGAATAATGGTACTGAGTAATTGTTCATATAACTATAGACAGTTAGGATTTCCTACTACCCACAGTTCCTTACTCTGTAAATTCTCTGCAAAAAAAAATTTAATAAAGTGCGTGGGTACTTTTAATTGAATTGACTATATACAATAACCAGAAACTCTTAAAATATATTTAGCACCTAAACATATATTGCATGTAGTTCTCAATATTTAAAAATTACTATCAGAAATGACAATACAATACAAAATAACAAAAAAGGTGTGTTTATATTTGAACAATAAAGGTTAATTTTGCTAAAATTGACTAATAATATTGTTATTATTATTAGTAAATTTTAGCAAAATAATACTTTAATTCCAGTGGACCTGTAACATGATTTTCTCGAAATGAATCAGATAAAATACACCATATTATTTACCTTTACACCTTATAATTTTTTCACTAGAAAGGAGTCATATTTTGTTTTTTTCTTGAATTAAAGTAAAATAGTGAGTATCTAAACTAATTATTTAACCTAGAGACATACTTACTGCAAAATATCAAATTTTTTTGGTATGGACAATACACACAATTATATATTTTATAAGGAAAAGGATGAACAAAATTTACTTCAATGAAAGAACTAAAATTCATCTACTTAAATGTCCCGTGATGCTCAGTACAAAAAAATCGTATGCTTTAACATTAATGTTTTTTTTTTGAAAACAGTAGATGTACTTAAGTAATGTTATCTTAACTATGACTAATCTTAAATATGAATATTAATGCATTTTATTTGCCCTATAGATGCTTTCATAAAAATACCTTATATTTAATTTGAATAATGAAGAAAATCACATTTAGGTTCCTTGAAATAATGTTGTTTTTTTGCCATATGTTATTTTCTACTGATCTCTTGACACTGCCTTGTATTTTCGTGGAAGTAATTGAGTGAAGTATTCATATTATTATGTTGGTTCAGTATCATGTAGCATCCATTAGCAGTATGTATGCACAGTTCTTGAGTTACAGTGTACTAATATTTTAAATGTGGCAATTATTTTGATGGCGCTCAATTATATTGTTTTATTATTATCTATTAATCTGAACTGGTAATCTGTTAATAGGCTTCCTAACCGAAGAATGTCGCCGTCGACTTCTAGACCTGAGGTTTAACTACCAATAGGTAGGTAGGTAATTTAGGGCAAATGCTCAGAGGATTTTGACACCAATAATACGTGTATCAAATCAAAATCAATTTTCCTGAAGATCATCGAAATCGGTCCAGAAGTTTCCGATTATCTAGGCAAAATAAGTGCTCACACTGACTTTTATACATATTACATTTATACAGAAGATGTTGTGGGTAGTATCTACATAACGTGTCCGCGGACGAGTCTAACTTTGAAGTAATAATATCGTGTAATCGTTGTCAGCAAATGGCGCATTAACGCAGGTGTAGTGCTTCTTAATAAAATGGGAGGGCGTTACCGTGTCAATATTTTTATTTATTTCGATGGATATGAAAACGTTAATAAATTAAGAAATTTATCTCTGAACGAGCGATGAACTGGACGTAAACCATATCTCGTATTCCACATGAAATTAGCTTACAGCACACCGAGAGACTACTTCGAATGCTCAAAACACAAACTAAATCATAGGCTTTATATAAGCCATTCCGTTCAGTACCGTTTTCGTGCTTGTGGCCTCGATAGAACTTTCTAGAACTGATATGACATTTGTAAGGAAGCAATAGAAATGATATATCGCATACTTCATAAGTTCCATGTCGGGACTAAAACAGGAATAGACATTTGAAATTATTAGTTTTCGGACCAAGTTGTCAGCCACGTTCCAATTTTTTAAAGCCATACTAGGTCAAAGGCCTTTCTGATGGTAAATGTATACGGTCGCTTATAGAAACCTGGGATGCAATGCCAGGGGCACAGCCAAGTCGATCTCTACCGCTAAAGACCATCTCAAACTTTGTTTGAGAAAAGACGTATCATAGTCCTTTAGGAACACCGTAGAAGGGACTTCATTCCGAAGCTAAACAATACGTAGCAAAAAAGACTTAAAATACGCTGATGGACACTGATTTCTTGGGGGGCGGTGAGATACCGCTTTTTTATTGCTTAGGTGGGTGGTCGATCTCACGGCCCACCTGATATTAAGTGGTCAACGGAGCCAATAGACATCTATAACATACAGTCTCGGTTTTTACAGTACAATGGCTGTCCCGCCTTTCAAACCGAAAGGCATTACTGCTTCACGGTACCTACCCGTGCGGACTCACAAGACGTCCTATCACCAGCAATTACGCAAATTATAATTTTGCGGGTTTGATTTTTATTACACGACGTTATTTCTTCACCGTGGAAGTCAATCGTGAACATTTGTTTAGTACGTATTTCATTAGAAAGATTGGTACCCGCCTGCGTGTTTCGGACACCGTTGCTAGATACAAATGCACCGGACGTCTTATCCTTTAGGCCACGACGACTTCAATATGAAGGGTCACCGTAAGGGAATTCCTAACATCTGTGCTGTATATACAATACGTATTTTGTTCTATTCGTGTAACCAGTCTACGACAAATGGCGAATTCAGTCATTTCGCATCAGCCCAATTTCAACATAACTTCGACAATTAAACGCCAAACATAAATCAAGTTTAAACAATATTATTACGAACGTAATCGTCTACGTAATTCACGAAGTATCCATCCCTAAAATACGTAGTTACGTTCGCTCGTAACGTCACGAATGAAAATGAGCAAAATAAAAATTGTATTTGCAATTCATAAGCAAAAAAAATATATATATACCGAAGGCTTTACATAGATCATTCATGAAATTCGTTCGTTTCGGTGATCGTTTTAGGGCTGTCGTTTCATTGTTATATTTATGTTTTATTTGAGCGTACGTCTAAGGCTATCTTGGTGTTTAGCGGTCAATGAGCTAGCGGGTAAGAGTATGAATCTGGCAGCCATCTTGAGTCGTTTTAGTCGAAATCGGAGCTTTTATAAATTGTTAATAATGGTAAAACGTTTTCAATCGCTTGAAGCAGCCCTACGCTGAAAAGGATTCATGAATGGACGCAGATATAAACCTTATCTACAAGTGAAGGTCGTCCACTGAACGACGATTGTTGATTTATGCTGTCTTTATCGTTTGCTTTATAATGTACTAAATGTCTCGATGTTAATTTTTTTTATTGCCCTTGTTGGAAAGCGGGTATATGACCCATACCTGATGGTGAGTGGTTACCGTCGCCCATGACCGTCGGCAATGCCAGGGGTAGAGCCAACCTGCTGTCTACCGTAAAATACTCTCCACAAGCCTCGTTTGAAGGAAGACATGTCATAGCGCTCGGGAAACACAGTAGAGGGGAGCTCATTCCACAGCCGGATAGTACGCGGCGAAAAAGATCTCTAGAAGCGCACTGTAGATGAACGCAATGGTTCTAGTGAGTATGGACGAACTCTACTCAGGTGGCGGGCGGTGCGATGGTAAAGATGTTTGTTCATGCTCACACAGATACTAGATGGGGTCGTGACACTGGTGCCTTGCCCCGCATGCGCTCGCATGTTCGTAACCACGATGTATCAAGTTATTCTCATGTTCGAATATAACAGGGAATACGCTCACGAGAGCTCACGTACAAACACGCTGCTAGCAGCAAACGGATGCGGTAACGTCGGCGTATTTCCACGAAAAATTTCCTGGTCGACACAAAATCGATCAAAAAGTCCAGAACACAAAGCTGATTTTGTTACGAAGATATAGTTCTTTGTTTTTGTTTTTTTGGGATAGTAGTGTTCGCAACCCACCTGTTTGTAATTGGTTACTGAATTAAATAGACCATATAACGTTGTTATCACTACGCACCTTCAGTTATCATGTCTTAAAATCACAGTCATCCTGCTGTACCGATCATAATGAACGAATCAGCACTTAGTAAGACGGTGGTAGGTACCCAGGGGTGCTTGCGATACATCACAAGTACTCACCGGATTTTATTCCTTACATA